TGCACCCCTGTCTGAGGAATTCTGGGAGTTGAAGTCCACAAGCCTTAAAGTTGCACACCTGTCTGAGGAATTCTGGGAGTTGAAGTCCACAAGTCTTAAAGTTGCAAAGCTAGCTAAGGAACTCTGGGAGTTGAAGTCCACAAGCCTTAAAGTTGCACACCTGTCTGAGGAATTCTGGGAGTTGAAGTCCACAAGCCTTAAAGTTGCACACCTGTCTGAGGAATTCTGGGAGTTGAAGTCCACAAGTCTTAAAGTTACACACCTGTCTGAGGAACTCTAGGAGTTGAAGTCCACAAGTCTTAAAGTTGTCAAGGGTGGAGACTCCTGCTCTAAGGGCAGTGGCCCCCAAACGTTTGGGCACCAGGGACCGGTTCCATGAAGAGACTTTTCCCCCTGCGGACTGAGGGCCTGTGGTTTCACGTTTTGCCTGCATCCCACGGATGAGTCTTCACTGGTTTATGTGGCCCAGTTTCTGGCATGCCACGGACTCCTGCCAGGCCCTGGACCTGGGGTTGGGGACTCCTATTGTAGGGTGCTGAACACAGCACCTGTATCTGATTCGCACAACCACATCCTGAGCCTTCCAGAAAGGTTCAAGATATTCTCTCACCATGTACCTCAGGCTTGGTTGTGATAAAAATCCAGATCCAATTAAGAGGAACAGTAACTCCCGCTGCAATTATATATATTTCTTTAATTTATTTATTTTTTAATTCTCTACCTCTCACCTCTCTGACTTGTGCACCTGCAGTTGGGAAATTAATACTATAGAATTTGAGTTAGGGCCTCAAGCAGGGTGGATTTCCGCTTCTGTTACTGCTATGCACATGGCACAGTAGTAAAACAAAATGGCTGCTACGCATGCACAGAAGCCAAAAACAAGATGGCAACGCCTATGGCACCGCCGATAGAACCGGGGTGGGGTGGGGGTGGCCGGCCAAGTTACTACCTAATGTCCGAACTGGTAGGAGCCCACCTCTGGCCTCAAGACTTAAGTCTTAGGCGATCTCATTTTGCCAGACGAGCCGCCATAGATTAGTTTCCCCAATTCCTCATCTTACAAAGTCCAGATTTCCACAAAGTGGTTAGGACAGGAGAACAGAGCATAATAATAAAGTTGGAATAGAGATAATCCAGCCCAACCCCCCCCCGATCAAGCGGAAAACCCTGTATCATTTCTGACGAGTGGTTGTCCAGTCTCATCCTAAAAGCCTCCAGTGGTGGAATACCTAAATCTTCTGAGAACAAGCCTTGATTGTTCTCATTGTCAGGACAATTTCCCCTTAGTTCTAGGCTGCTTCTCTCCTTGATGAGTTTCCACCCATTGCTTCTTGTCATGGCTTCAGGGACTTTGGAGAATAGCTTGACTCCCTTTTCTTTGTGTTAACCCCTGAGATATTGGAAGACTTCTATCATGTCCTCCCTAGTCCTTCTCTTCATTAAACTAGACATACCCAGTTCCTGCAACCGTTCTTCATATGTTTTAGCCTCCAGTCCCCTAATCATCTTGGTTGCTCTTCTCTGCACTCTTTTTAGAGTCTCCACATTCTTTTTTTTATAATGGAGTGATCAAAGCAGCATACACGCTATATAAAGCATTGGTTCATTTCAATGGAAAGGCCTAGCAAGAAATGCTACAGGAGCCAGTCCTTTACCTGGGCAGTGTTCTGGCCTACGCTTCCACAAGAAGCATAAGGCAGAGTCCTGGTCCCGACAAAACCCCTTTTATTAAACGCATGGGAATTCCTCTCCTTCACATTCAGCAAAGGCTTTGGCAAACAGTCTTTCAAAGGTGAATTTATGACCACAGACCTTATCTAGTTTGGAAAGCTTCCATGCAAATATTTTTCCAAACACAGTGCAGTGCAAGGAAAGACTTGGCACAGAGTCTCTGAGATCTTCACACCCTGAAACCACCAAACGAATGAATTATTTCCTGAAAAAGCCCCCTCCCCTTTCGCTCCTCTTTTATTTCTTATGGGAGGGGTCAATCACCTTCCACCT